TCACGTGACTGATGACATCACGCAGGTAAAAACAGGAAGCGCCGGCTGATGTAACAAACCGGCCCTCCTCCTCTCCGTGACCTCAGACTAGGGAATGGTTACCATGACAACAGGAGTGGGAGCATCAATGAAAAAAGGAGGAGAGTCTTTGTTCCTACCTGGGGGCGAGCCCGAGGGTCCAGCGGTGCCGCATCCTGTCAGTCCATTCGTCCAGTCTGTTCGTCTGTCTGCGAGTCTTTGTCTGTGCTCACGTGTCCGCCCCCCTCAGCTGATCCCGTCGGACGCACAGACAGACGCCGTCCCTCCGTCGGAGGCGCTGAAACTGTCTGTCTGTGCGTTTGCGGCGGGCTGAGCAGCAGCAGCAGGAGGAAGTGGCTTCTCCCGGAGCCACAGAACAATGTGCGGCTGAGGAGGAGGAGGGTGTGTGTGTGTGTGTGTGAGGGGGGGGCTCATCCTGTGCTCTTCCTCTCTTAAAGGGCCAGCAGCCTCACAGGGAGGAGGAGCTGACTGCTGAGCTGCAGGTCAAAGGTCAGCTTTAGAGGAGAGGAGCAAGCTGTGAACCAAAGTCCATTCGAATTTTGACCGATTTAAAGATCATCAGTTAATCCTAATCCTGTGTTTGTTTCCAGGATTGTGTGTGTGTGTGTGCAGGGGGAGGGGCTCGCTGGATTAAGGATTAGATATTCTTTCTCTGATTTCGCTGTTTTCTCTCCATCTGTCAGCCTGACCCAGCATCCCAGCATGCACTGTGTGTGATGTCACACCCCCACAGAGAGACAACACAGAGGGACCACACAAACATCAGTCTGTAAGGCTTTAGTAATTTATTAGACTCTACTCTTCATCATCAGCATCAGGACGGCTAATACAAACAGTCCCAGGTGCGACCGTTAGGCCACGCCCACACCGTCAGGTGAGGTCAGTAAGGCACGTTCTGGGTTACTGTGTTACAGGCTGCGTGTGTGTGTGTGTGTGTGAGTGTGTGTGTGTGTGATCAGGGGTCACAGGGGTCGCTGATCCTGAGCTACAGTTCAAATTGATGAAGCAACTCCTCTTCCTCAGCAGCCACACTGAAACACACCTTGGACGATTACTTTGCAGCTCAAATCACAGCAGTCGCCTCCGAGTGCTTCATACGGTGGGACAGTGGGGAGGAAGAACGCCCTTTAAACAGGAAGTAAGCTCCTCAGGGTGGGAGGGGCTCTCAAAGAAGAAGGAGTTTCAAACCATCAGCTCTGACTCGTCCATCGCTTCCTGACATCTGACCTCATGACCTCTGCTGCCTGGAGCTGACCTGCTGACTCCATCATCATCACTGTCCTCCACACCTACACACAGACACACA